AGTAGGTGGAATGGCAAAATTTAAACACTTAGAAAGGATTTCTTTTTCTTTGTTGGTGATTAACCTGTTCGAGAATTGAGCACCACTTTGTCGGGGTTGATTTGAATGTTATTGTCGTTCTTAGCGCAAAGGTGAAAAGGCTTTCGATCTTGTATGCATTGGTGTTGGTTTAATTTCTTCGAGCTCTCACGATCTGAAACATTCTTGAAATGTATAAAGTCTAGTGTAGATACGGATGAAGCCAGATGAGAATGGGTCGTTGTCACTTGTGCAGATAGCACGCGTATACTAGAGTGTTTGTCGTTTATTTCTTCGAGGAGTACTTTGCTTTGACATTGACGATAGGCGCTAGAATTACGCAGACGGCGATTTGCAACCTTGAACCACAAGAAACGTGGTATTTCTCAACGCTTTTTACATGTTGTAAGGAATTTTAAGTTCAATTTAGCTTTACCAAGTTTGAGCTCGAGGCGTTGATACTTTCTGAATACTTTAAGCGTTTTATTGTCATATCGATTTATCAATATTGTTGCCAATGAAGTGCCAGGCGGGAAGCGGATTCTCAATATAAATATTAAAGCCCAACAAATAATTTTAAACATAGTCATAAACAATTTGGTTATATGAAATTTATTAAAAGAGTGACGTTTCGTCTTTACTCAAGACATCTTCAGATAATTAGTCTGAAGATAAGGACAATGCCGTTGTCATCCTTAATAAAACCGACTACAATAACAAAATGTCAGAAATCCTCTCCGATTCCTCAAAATTTGAACTCATAAGCGAAGACCCTGTGAAAGTCACCCTACAACGTGAAACCCAGGTGAAATCATTACTCAAACAACTCAAGAAAACGAAATCAATTGATGAATAAACTTACAATAAACTCTAACCGACTGGCTCACGCATAGGTATACTATATGGACTTCCAAAAATTCACAAACCAACCATTCCCTTACGACCCATTCTATCTTCTATAAATCTCGTATAAACTAGCTAAATGTTTCATTCTGCTGATTACACCCATCTCCACAAAGTCTTCCATGATAAAGGACTCATTCTCCTTCGTATAAGAAATACTTAACACTAACATCAACTCTATTAAAGTTGTTATGGCTAGTTTTGACGTAACTTCGATTTTCTCCAACATTCCTCTTCATGAAACAATCAATATCATCAGTGATCTTCTTTTTATTAACCATAAACAATTTCATGGACTCACCCGCACCGAATTCAGTAATCTACTAACGCTATCTATTAATTGCAAATTTATGTTTAACGACCGCTTATACCACCAAATTGATGGTGATGCTATGGATAGTCCTTTTGGCCCCCTTTTTGCCAACATTTCATGTATTTAAAACTGTCCCCACAAATTCAAACCTGTTCTCTACATACGATATGTCGATGACTGCTTCCTTCTTTTTAAATCACTTGATCACGTTCCTGTCTTTTTAGAATACATCAACCATCAACACCCCAACATCACGTTTACCTCTGAGACGGAAAATAATGGACGACTACAGTTTTTAGACATGTAAATTTATCGCTCAAATGACAAATTCACCACCTCTGTATATCATAAACCCACATTCACCGGTCTTTTCACAAACTTTTACAGCTTTATCCCACTTTCTTATAAACGCAACTTCATCTTTGGCCTGTTACACCGCTTGTTCAACCTCAGCTCTAGTTATGAGACTATTCATGTCCAAATTGAAACCACCAGAAAAGTATTCAAACTCAATTGCTATTTAACTAATATATTCGACCACATTGTCCGTCGTTTCTTTGACGCAAAATTCGAAAAACACCTGTCTTTTGTCCCAAAGAAAATAGTGTATTTTGTCTCTCATTCACCGGCTGTCACTTGTTACAAATCCGCACACAAATCAATCGTCTCTACAACGCTGCTTTCCTCATCTCAATGTCAGATTCGTCTTTCATACCCCACACGAATCTCTTCATTTTTCCAGTTAAGGATAAAATTCGCAAGTCTCTGAGGTCTGGTGTTGTTTATTTATGTGTCGATGCTGTTGCGCATCGTGTGTGGGTCAAACCACACGCCACTTACACACCAGAATCACGAAACACTTGGGGGTCTCTCCTTTGACTGGAAAACGCTTACTATCCCATTAATGTCAAGTATTCTTTTTCATAGTAACTCCTCAAACCACCCTGCTTTCCCAGACGGTTTTAAAATCCTCTCATCCGGCTCCGACACAATGAACCTCATGATCCACGAAAGCCTCATCATCTCAAGCTAAAACCTTCACTTAACGCCCAAGGCAGATCCATCCCTCTGAAGCTTTTCTAGTCTCAACACCTCACCCTAACTATACATAACATCACACTTACACATTCACAGTAATCTGATACCTCTAACTATGTAAATAGCTCGATATTATATCTTTTCATTGAATTTTAAGTACTTTTCTTACACTGAAACAATCATTACTGACTTATAATCACTTAAATGAAAACAAGGCATCTTAGGACCCGTCCACACGTATCCGGATTCGTAAATATCCGCAAATATTTTGTTGCGGTTACACTTATCGTCCACACGTATCCAGCGAAACGCCAGTGCCTTTTTAAAGAATTTTACTTGAAAGCGCGATTCTCTTACAAAAAAATTTCCATTGTATTGTATAATTTATAGTAGTTAGCAACCGCAGTACTTGCGAGAGTAATGGCGGATCTGACGTAAGCGCATAAAAAATCTGGGACACATCGCACCCCTGAGTTGGCCTTCTGTTCATTTCCTATTCTGTGCTTTAACGTAAGTCAGGTCCATTTCACTTTACCTAAGTAGGGTAGGTTAGGATTCATTAGACCTTAATGAATTTATAAGCTAAATATATTTAATTAATAAATAGACCTCTTAATCTCGTAGAACACACGTGATCATGCTATAACCCTTACCACAGTATAAGAATATACAGAAGAGTCATTCTTGTCGGAATCTTTGATGATTTTGTATTCATTATTCAGTATTGACGTCATGTAATTTTAATGGTTGTAAACAAGTGAGAAATCCTAATCATCTGGCTAGAATAATGGCCGTCACGAGAACGTTGTACACCTGAGTGACCCTTCTGTATAATCATTACTCTGTGCCCAAATCTTTCAAACTTTAGTTGTCAATATATGAGACCACGTCTTGACCACGTTAAACGCGTTTAAATATAAAAATCGTTAGAATCTTACGATGTCGTTATGCAAAAAAGCGATGCATGATGTTGTGAAGTAAGTTAGGATTCATAAGACCTTAATCAATTTAGAAACTAGATTTTAATTTTGACCAAATCTTCATTGAATCTTGCAGTTATATCTTGATACGTTAAGGTCCTGAGAATGGTTTATAGGCGTTCTCATTGACGTCACCAACATCTTCAAGCCCAAAATCAATATTAGCGTAGAATCATGACTATGCAGAATTGCCAACGTGTTCTTACAACGGCCATTATTACAGCCAGTTGATTAGGGTTTGTTACTGGTTTCCAACCATTACATGACATCAATACTTAATAATGAATTCGAGAATAACAGCACAGTGGATGGCAGAAGTTTGCTCGACAGTTGTGAAAGAGCCAAAATTACAACCTCTTTCTGGGGAAGTGATATTACCTCGTACAGCCAATAGACAAGAAGAAGCGAGACTAGATATTCGTGCTAAAGGTTTTTGGTCTAGACAGCAAGATGCATTTTTTGATGTAAGGGTATTTTACCCAAATGCGTCGAGCTACCAAAACACCAATCTACCTGCACTCTATCGTCAGCATGAGATGGCTAAGAAAAGGGAATATGGTGATCGAGTAAGAGATTGAATATGCTGCTTTTTCATCACTGGTCTTTTCAACATCAGGTGGTATGGGGAAAGAGACTGCAATTGCTTATAAACGGCTAGCTGATCTGCTGGCAAAAGAGAAAGCTGCAATATGGCATCACGCTAGCGTGGATGCGTTGTAAACTGTCTTTCGCACTGATTAGGTCAGCAATTACTGCGATACGAGGAAGTCGATCTGCCTCAACTCGCGAACATACTTTAAATATTGACCTAGGTTATTGGGAAAGTTGTCTTTGACTGTCCCTTTATCATGGATATTTTAAACACTGATTTTAGTCATATTTGATTCAGATTTTTTTAACATTTATATTTGTAATAGATAATAATAATCATAATAAAATACGTTCCTTTTCATTAAAATTACATGACATCAATACTTAATAATGAATTCGAGAATATTTTGACTTTAGACATGACTTTGGATCATTTTGAAGGTTGGGAAAAAGTCAAAAACCCTAATAAACTGGCTGTAATAATGACCGTTGTAAGGACACGTTGGCTACCTGAGTGACCCTTCTGTATAGTCATGATTCTGTGCTAATATACTGTGAGAATGGTTTAAGGCGTTCTCATTAACGTCACCAACATCTTCAAGCCCAAAATTATAATATTAGCGTTATTTAATAGGCTGAATATGTTTAATTAATAAATAATTGACGTAATATCACCGAAAAATAGTCAATTTTTACTAGCATTTCATATATATTAATGTAGGGAGAGCATAGTTCTTTTGTTTGACAACAATAATTTTTGTTTTTAAAAATTAGATTTAATAGATATCCCGTAATTTGTTCAAGCAAAAACTGTGAGTTTTAACCCTCTAGAGGCAGTTGATGCTCACAGGCAACAATCACCAAACAAGATGTTTACGAACTTTTGAAAAGGCACGGCTCCCTGAGGGTTAAACAATCATGTTGAATAAATACATATAATGACATGCTTAACACTATTTATAAATATACTATTCACTTCAAGCCACATATAAACCACGAGGCGTCATGGAAGGCAGATGTTGTTCATATAAGATGGAACAAAACTTTACACATAAACGACAAGTATAATGATTTGTAATTGTGTCATGCAAAATAAAGTTGTTGCCTTCAACTCTCCTTGATGACAAGTTACCGAAACATGTCTCATTTAATTGCAGATGTATTTAAACGTGTTGATAAAAAATCAAGACCGCCAATATCTGAATGCTACTGAACAAGGACATACCGCACATATTTAAACATTTGAAAGCCACGATGTACAGATATATACCCTCAGTACCACGTCGTAAATGTTGATAGCAGCAGCAAAAGAAATTTGAAAGGAAAACCCTTATGAAATGTGTGACACACGTAGCTACTTGTTTCGATATCATTTATGACAATACATCCTACGGCCTGAAACTTCCAATGTAAGTGACTATCTTGTGAAAATCTCAATTCATTGATGCTACTGATTTTTTGTTTGTTTCTTCAATGTCACATTAGTTATAACTGAATATATGCAATGAATACAAATACACTAAATTTGCTATCTGTCTCCAATGCTATATGTGGTGGAATGCATAGAACTGCAGTTTTCATAGATTAAGGTTTAGACTTGCAATGAGCGAGAGCCGTAACTGTTTTTTTGCTCGTTTTTCTACGACTGTCTACTATATTTTTAGTAGTAGAAACTCGGGGAAAACAGAACGCCCTAAATTCTCTCCTAACATTAACTTAGCAACATATAATTACAAGATTCAATGAATATTTGGACAAAATTAAAGTCTAGTTTATAAATTCATTATCGTCTCATGTATCTTACCCTACAACACCATGCATATTTGCTTTGCATAACGACATTAAAACGCAAAAAAAAGTAGATTCTAATGAATTTTTTGTTCAAATGCATAGAAGGATTACTCATTGTCTTTGTGAAAGGTGAAAAGCTCCTAAGGGGCCAATTACAAGAAAAAATTTTAGTCATGACTTGATTAAGCAAATGTTAACAACTCAAACTTAGTCACTTTAACGTTGAGGAAAGAAAGGTGAATTCTGTCTTTTTCCTGACAGATTACTGAAGTATGAGTTGCATGGAATAATCAACTAGTCTTAATGGCAGGCCTCGTAATATGAAAGCTTTCAATGTAAAATGCTTTAATAACGATGTTAAGCCTTTGATCGTTTGAAACTTGTTACATCTTTCAAACTTAATCGACTAAAGCTATTCGTGCAATGTTTGGTGAATGTTCTACCATTTGGATAGACCAACAGAAAACATATAACAATTTGCTCATTCTCAATATATCTGATTGTGAATTTAAAAACGCCAATTAACGTCATATGTAGATTTCTTTATCATGAAATGTCGTACATGTGTTTCATATTTTCTAGCTTATATTGTAGATCCCACATGGATGGAGTTGTGAAAATCCCTTTACCACCTGTGTCATTCACTTCAATTACTCTTACTAGTTTGTCATTACTCATGTGTCATGGTGATTCATGGCCAAAAATGTTCATATGCAGTTTGGATTCTTTGTGGATGTCAGTTGTTTGTTTATATGATGATGATGGGCCCCATTGTTATATGAACTCACCTGGAAGTGGTCAGCTGACATTCATAGAAGATCAAATCTGCACTAAGCATTCTTTGAGTGATGATATAACTGGGGTTTTGAAGTGAGCCCTTTCCTTCGCTTGAAATTACCATTAGAGTGCATTGTAAACAGTAATCTATCGAAATGGCGATTCATAATACGAGTAGCCCTTTTATTGGTTACGTCGATTAATTTGTGTATGGAATGGTATAAACATATTGAATGGACATTGCATAACGGCATTTGTACGTGTGAACATTAACATTGAGGTGATTGGACTATAATCTACGAAGATGGAAAACAAGCGAGTGGAAAAACATGATCTATGTCTTGTGGTTTGTAAGTTGAGTAGATAAGTATTAAAATTAACTTATAGCTATGAGTAACTGCATGAGAGATTCAAAAAGGATCCCGATGGTCTATTTTTATAATTTGAAACATAATCATGACGAACACCCATATTAGCTAAAAATGTCAATAAAGATGTCAACTGCTGTGAGAAAATAGCTGGCTTTCACTCGCTACTTTTACTAATTTTATTTAACGTTTATAAACAAATTGCAATTTGCAATTGCGGAAGTTACGATATACGTTACGATACGTTACGATATACACGTTACGATACACGTTACGATATACGTTACGATATACACGTTACGATATACAAGTTACGATGCGTTACGATATACATGTTACGATATACATGTTACGATATACGTTACGATATACGTTACGATATACATGTTACGATATACGTTATACGTTACGATATACAGGTTACGATATACACGTTACGATATACATGTTACGATATACACGTTACGATATACACGTTACGATATACGTTACGATATGCGTTACGATATACACGTTACGATATACACGTTACGATATCCGTGTTACGATATACACGTTACGATATACATGTTACGATGTTACGATATACATGTTACGATATACGTTACGATATACATGTTACGATACACGTTACGATATACATGTTACGATATACATGTTACGATATCCACGTTACGATATACACGTTACGATATACATGTTACGATATACACGTTACGATATCCACGTTACGATATACATGTTACGATATACATGTTACGATATACATATTACGATATACATGTTACGATATCCACGTTACGATATACACGTTACGATATCCATGTTACGATATACTTGTTACGATACACATGTTACGATATAAACGTTACGATACGTTACGATTACGTGCGTTATGATATACGTATTTTGATGAAGATACGATATACATGTTACGATGTTACGATATGCACGTTACGATATACGCGTTACGATATACATGTTACGATATCCGTTTACGATATACACGTTACGATATGCATGTTACGATATACGCGTTACGATCCATGTACGATATACGTTACGATATACATGTTACGATATACACGTTACGATATACGTTATGATGTCATGTTTGATATACATGTTACGATATACATTTACGATATAAACGTTACGATATACGTATGCGATATACGTTTTACGATATACATGTTACGATATACACGTTACGATATACACGTTACGATATCACGTTACGATATACGTTACAATATACGTTACGATATACATGTTACGATATACGTTACGATTCACGTTAATACGTTACACGATATACGTTACGATATACGTTACGATATCCATGTTACATATACACGTTACGATATACATGTTACGATATACGTGTTGCGATATACATGTTACGATATACACGTTACGATATACGTGTTACGATATACGCGTTACGATATACACGTTACGATATACGTTACGATATACACGTTACGATATACGCGTTACGATATGCGTTACGATATACGTGTTACGATATCCATGTTACGATATGCATTACATACGTGTTACGATGTCGCGTTATGATATCCATGTTGCGATATACATGTTACGATTATGTGTTGATATACACGTTACGATATACATGTTACGATATACACGTTACGATATCACGTTACGATGTACATGTTATACGATGTTACGATACATGTTACGATATACGTTACGATATACGTTACGATATACATACGATATCCACGTTACAATTATGCGCGTTACGATGCTCATGTTACGATATACGTTACGATATACATGTTACGATATACACGTTACGATATACACGTTACGATATACAGTTACGATATACACGTTACGATATACATGTTACGATATCACGTTACGATATACGTTACGATATACACGTTACGATATACATTACGTTACGATATACGCGTTACGATATAAATGTTACGATATACGTTACGATATACATGTTACGATATACATGTTACGATATACATGTTACGATATACAGTACGATATACGTGTTACGATATACACGTTACGATATACATGTTACGATATACATGTTACGATATCCACGTTACGATATACACGTTACGATATACATGTTACGATATACGTTACGATATCCACGTTACGATATACATGTTACGATATACTGTTACGATATACATATTACGATATACATGTTACGATATCCACGTTACGATATACGTTACGATATCCATGTTACGATATACGTTGATGCATTTATACAGATGTTACGATATACGTTACGATATACACGTTATGATCGCCATGTATTTACGATATGGATGTTACGATATACGTGTTACGATATTACGATATACGTTACGATATACACGTTACGATATACATGTCCATGTTACGATCATACGATGATACATGTTACGATATACACGTTACGATATACGTTACGATATGCACGTTACGATATACGTGTTACGATATACGTTACGATACACGTTATGATATACATGTTACGATATACATGTTACGATATACATGTTACGATATCGTTACGATATACATGTTGATATACGTGTTACGATATACGTGTTACGATATACACGTTGATATACCGTTACGATATACGTTACGATATACGTTACAATATACGTTACGATATACGTTACGATATACGTTACGATATACACGTTACGATATACGTTACGATATACACGTTACGATATACGTTACGATATCCGTGTTACGATATACACGTTACGATATACGTGTTACGATATACATGTTACGATATACATGTTACGATATTCACGTTACGATATACACGTTGCGATATACACGTTACGATATACGTTACGATATACACGTTACGATATACGTTACGATATACGTTACGATATACACGTTACGATATACACGTTACGATATCCATGTTACGATATACACGTTACGATATACATGTTACGATATACATGTTATGATATCCATGTTACGATATACGTGTTACGATATACGTGTTACGATATACGTTACGATATACATGTTACGATATGCGTTACGATATCCGTTACGATATACATGTTACGATATACATGTTACGATATACATGTTACGATATACGTTACGATATACACGTTACGATATACATGTTGATATCACGTTACAATATACACGTTACGATATACATGTTACGATATACACGTTACGATATACATGTTACGATATACATTTTACGATATACATGTTACGATATACATGTTACGATATACATGTTACGATATCCACGTTACGATATACATGTTACGATATACACTGTTACGATATACATGTTACGATATACATGTTACGATATACACGTTTACGATATACATGTTACGATATACGTTACGATATACGTTACGATATACGTGTTACGATATCCGTTACAATACGCGTTACGATATACATGTTACGATATACGTTACGATATACATGTTACGATATACATGTTACGATATACATGTTACGATATACGTGTTACGATATACATGTTACGATATCCACGTTACGATATACATGTTACGATATACATGTTACGATATACATGTTACGATATACATGTTACGATATCACGTTACGATATACACGTTACGATATACGATATACGTTATACACGTTACGATATACACGTTACGATATATGTGTTACGATATACATGTTACGATATACACGTTACGATATGCGTTACGATATACATGTTACGATATCCACGTTACAATACACGTTACGATATACATGTTACGATATACACGTTACGATATCATGTTACGTATACATGTTACGATATACATGTTACGATATACATGTTACGATATGTTACCGTTACGATATACATGTTACGATATACATGTTACGATATCACGTTACGATATACACGTTACGATATACGTGTTACAATACGTTACGATATCCGTTACGATATACATGTTACGATATACATGTTACGATATACACGTTACGATATACGTTACGATATCCATGTTACGATATACATATTACGATATAAACGTTACGATATACACGTTACGATATACGTTACGATATACACGTTACGATATACATGTTACGATATACACGTTACGATATACGTTACGATATACACGTTACGATATACACGTTACGATATACATGTTACGATATCCACGTTACGATATACACGTTACGATATACATGTTACGATATACACGTTACGATATACATGTTACGATATACACGTTACGATATACATTACGATATCCACGTTACGATATACGTTACGATATACATGTTACGATATACATGTTACGATATACATGTTACGATATACATGTTACGATATACACGTTACGATATACATGTTACGATATACACGTTACGATATACACGTTACGATATATATGTTACGATATCCACGTTACAATATACACGTTACGATATACATGTTACGATATACACGTTACGATATACATGTTGCGATATACATGTTACGATATACACGTTACGATATACATGTTACGATATACATGTTACGATATACATGTTACGATATCCACTTTACGATATACACGTTACGATATATATGTTACGATATACATGTTACGATATCCACGTTACGATATACACGTTACGATATACATGTTACGATATACACGTTACGATATACATGTTACGATATACACGTTACGATATACACGTTACGATATACGTTACGATATACATGTTACGATATACATGTTACGATATACATATTACGATATACACGTTACGATATACACGTTACGATATACATGTTACGATATACACGTTACGATATACACGTTACGATATACACGTTACGATATACACGTTACGATATACATGTTACGATATACATGTTACGATATACATGTTACGATATACATGTTACGATATACACGTTACGATATACACGTAAAAGCTGCGCTGTGAAAAAAGTGAAAGAGACCTACTAAGACTCCTGGATCTGACGGACCAGGACAATGCTTGAAAATCAGGTATTAAAGTTTTGTTCTTTTCAAAATACATAATTTTTTATTTTATTCATTCATTATACTGACATTTATAATGTGTTTTTTTATAGAGTAGCTATGTCTGTAATAACTAGACATTGAATGAACAATCAAGTTGGACAGAAGCACGAAGAAACAAGCGTCCTTATTGAAAGATTCCCACTTGTGACTTTCGTTGTACATACTATTAATCAGTATAACGCATTTTTTCATTCAACCGTTAAAAATTTCCGTAAAACTAAATTTTTACAATTGTCAAATTTTCGGACAAAACACACGAGTGAAAGCCAGTTATTAATGAAGGTCTTAATAAAGCAACATTGAAATTTTGATCGAATGAAGACTAGTAGACATCAAAAATAGTTTGTATGCAAGTCACGACGTCACTTTGGTCATTTCATTTTTCATTGTTATTGGTAGGTGAATGATCAGGTCGAACGTACTGAATGAATTTTTCATATGATTTATGTATGAGCTGCTATTAGTTTATATTTTTTGTCTATTCATTAAAATTTTTGTTAACACTCTGCACTCTTTCATTTTTTGTTCTCTACTAAAGTTTTCGTTTCTTTTGTTCAAACACAAAATATTGCGGTGTCAATAAATAGGGTAGTCAGCCGACTTTTTTGTCGCCGCTTTTTTTTGTCGCTTTGCGAATTTAAGATACGAACGACGTAGCTACGATCTGACTACGCTGCATGTTAAAGTAGATCATCGGGATCATTGAAAACAACAAAAATATGAAAAATCTTGAAAACAACAAAAATTTAAAGAAATTTTTCTAAATTTCGATTTTTTTATTGATTGGAGGGTTTTTCACCGGATCCACCGGTTTTCCCTCCCATTTCGTTTTGTTTTGGAAAAAAAACAGTGTCCACATTTGGGGCCAAGGAAGTCATTTATCATAACATTATTTATTGTATCTATCATGAATATTCATGTCTATTTTTATTTCTCGGCCTTTGGGTATATTTCCAAAACACTGCGTTTAATAAATACAATGACATATATTTTGAAAAAAAATATGTACGCAAGTTTTCTGTTCTGTCAGATCTTCTAAAACAATTTTTTTTAATCTTCTGCATCAACCGACTCAGCGAGAATATAAAATGATTTTATACAGTATGGAAGTGTGATTTTCGTACATAATGAAAATTCCATGATTCTTTCATTTCACTAAGAAGTTCTTTTTACTTAAAATATTGCATTAAACATGAGCAATGTGACGAATTTTTACATTACTCACGGTAATACGCTTAGCCCAATAATATTAGCACACACCATTCGACAATTTTCTCCCCAACCATGAAATGAGATGTTTTATGTATATACCAAATACATTCCCAATGATATAGAAAGAAATGATAACACTAAAAACAAAGATTAATCTTGATAGTAGATAGTTTGAGATTGAGATTTTTAAACTACAATGTGCTTCTTAAAGTCACTGCACATATGAGACTAACATTATCTTCATGACTAATTTGATTACATCCTTTACTGTTGTATCGACAGTGTTTTTTCTGATAGCTAAGTAATTATAATGCGTGCAGTTGATGTTTGAAATGTATTCGTAAGTTAAAATGGTTTATTTGATAACAAAGTTTCTTTATAATATGAAGTGACTTGTGTGAGAATATCCAAGTATGAAAGTTTTGATTAATGAATTTAAAAAATCCGTTTACAGTTTGCAAAATCGTGTCGTAACAATTGACATTAAAATCCTGTCTTAGATCAGTGATCATCTATTCCTGAGTTAAAACTTTTGAAATTTATAAGATTTAGCAGTAGTTCTTTAGAATTTGACTAATCTCAATGTTGTTATGTACTCTGCATGACGTTCTTATTTATGCATTTTTATCTCTATAACAACTGTTTTTAGTCAGTGATGTATACTTAGTTATATAACTAGAATGTTCTAAATAAATGTCATTAATGTTTTATTTCACTGTTTGTTGAAGGAGATCCTGACTCACTCTTCATTTTCGTTTGCTATTTAAATTTTTTTATGTAACAAAACTTACATGGATAAAAGATTGATGTAACAGTAAGGTATGGATTATGATTACCGTTTTTAAACTGATATGTATGTGGTCGCGTTCTTTATATTAAATCTCTCATCTTTGTTAGGTATGTGACATGTAAAGAACTAAAGATAGCATAATTTTGTTCACATGATCGTCGTATAAGAAGTCTTATTTCTAAAACAAAGGTAATTTTACGTAATTTAACCGAGATTTAGTGTTTACATTACTAACTTAACAAATTTGATACCGAAGCATTGCGTAGTATGAAGTATGACTATAAACAAATGAATGTTTATTTCCATTCCAAATAAAAATCGTTTGAATGATTCTATAAGTGACTTTTAAAGCTATATTTAATACCACGACTGGAAAGTAGGTTTTATTTTTTGTTTCAAATTATTCACTATAAAAAATGCGGCTCTTACACGAAGAAAAAGGTTTGATAATAAATATTTCTGAGTCAGTGATGTGCTTGACATTCACAGAAGCCACGTCATAATGTGACATTTCTTTTTAAATATAATTAAACTTAAGTAAACAGTACAATGTACAAATGTAAAGTAAAGATTGGGTCACAATGAACTTATGATAACGTATATATTTCATCATCAATCATTATTTTTTAATATAAGTATACTTTAGTTAGCAATACAATGTATAAATGTAATGTAAAGATTATGTTCAAGTTGTCAAAATGAACGCCAGATAACGTTTATATTTCATAATCATTCATTTTGCACGTAATTTATTCTTAGATGAACTTTGATTTAGCATGTACACTGAGAAACTGAAATCAAGATACTTGTTTTGTTTTCCAACGCGCCTAACTGTTTTAGTTACTTGAAGAAAATCGTGTAACAACACAAAGTCGAGAAGTTTCACTGACTGTCAGGCCAGGCCCGCAGTGAGGTGGTAGGCAAGGGGGCATTTTGCCTTGGGCCAGTAATATAATAGGGGCCGGCGCCTCCCCATTTGGACACATGAAAATTTCAAAATTGATGTTTATAGAAAAAGTAATGTATGATTTGTGTATTATTTGTGGTTTTCTTACGTTATCTCACTATGTAGAAGACATTCATCAATTGTAAAGTTTTTAGAATTTCTCGTAGCATCTTCAAACGGAATCACGCTTAAAAAGTTATCAATATGAGCAGGCATGTGGCTAGGATGTAAAATTTGGGGGAGTAACAACATTTTTGGGGGGGGGGAGAGCAGTCGTAGACGTCAAGTTAAACTGTATTATAACAAGAATATAATTTATCACTAGTTAGTTTTTGTGGGTAGCCACTGTGCATGCGCGGCTAACCACTATGCCATACTGAAAAGTGTCTGAGTGAGGCAGTGAGGCAGGCAGTGTTTCTTAGTCGTGATATCCTCGGCTGTCATCGGTGATAGTCGCATATGCGAACGATTACGAATAGAATTTTTTTAAGTAAAGTGAATACTTATGTTATTTCCATAATTTCGTAAAAGCACTATTGCTAATGCGCATTTAATACAAACGACAAGTTTTTTGAAAAAAGACATGTTTCGACATCTCATGATGCCATCTTCAGTATGAGTGAATTACATATATGTTATTCAGTTATTCTTCTTATTCTTATTCTTATTCTAAAGAATAAGTAAAGAATAACTGAAGAATAAGTTATTTTTATTCTTCAGTTAATCTTCAGTATGAGTCATCATCATCATATCTTTTCGCGCCAGGGCGATCCAAACTCGGGCTGGAAGTTTGGAAGTGTTGCGCGTGTTGTAGCAATCAGTCGAAATCAGGGACGGCACGTGAAGCCTTGAAGTGAATTACATATATGTTATTCTTTAATTACCTATGATTTAGAGCGTATAATCTGCACTTTGTTTTAGTGACTATAGTCAAAACCTTGCAGCTGAAAATATCATTCATTTATACGCTTTACTGGTTAATACAGACGTCAAATATATCCTATAGGGGACTACTGCAGTTTAGCGGACACCTTGGTCGCTGACCCAAACTCTACCCTGTTATCTTTAACCAAAATGAGCCCGCGATTAGAAGCGCTTCCTGTGTCCGCTAGACTGCAGTCTAGCAAAAATTTAAGTTGAAACAAAATCATCAGCAATATAGTCCTATCAAAATGTTAATAAGCAATTATTCGTACAACGCAGCAAACCAGTTTGATATATCCTGTTAAAAGAACGACGTATCTCTTCACCACACGATTGTTATCACTTTAAGTGTATTTTCATTGTATCAAGTGTACTATTTTAATGCCTTGATGTAAGATCGGTTACTGGGTCATGTCACTAGGCAGTGAACACAATTTTTATCGAGAAAAAAAAACACACATGTCTTTATAAATGACTTGTAGTACTATTTTACTTTATCCTTTTAACTTTGTAAACATTTTGTACACTTTAAATTATACCTTTTTTCACAAACTCATTCCTCCTTTCTAGAATAAAAAAATGGTTTCGCCACCTAATAAATTAAAGATTGAGGAAAATGGATCTCGTTGTGCTCATTTTGTACATTGCAAATTGATGCTTTTTGAACAAACTCGTTCTTCATTTCTAGCTTGAAAATGGCTTCACCGCCTCAAAACTGAAGTTTGAGGCAAACGGATCTCGTTTAAGTAAACTTTTGATCAATAAAGGAACACAAGCCTTGAAAATAACATTGCAAATCATTATAAACCTTCAGTCATCAAACTTAAAAGATAAACTTAATGATCCGTCTACAAAGAGTAAATTGACACCACTAAAATTCAAAGTCATCAGCAAGGAGCAATGGAACCTTCTTTACCCATCAACTGGCTCACCTGACATTGAACACTTTGATATTTCATTATTAACTGTCTTATTGCGTAACATATGTTGTCTAACAGCGCCACATAGTGGATGGAATAATCTTCCTTCCTCTTCAGATACTTCAATCTCAGCAAACATTGCAAGAATAAAGTTTTATCGAAACGAGTGTACGGTCACATAACTACAACTAGTTTAAAGGACAGTGAGTTTGAGTACTTGTGGCAGGAAATTTCAAAAGCATTGGTTGGTCTGGGTATTCAACAAACTGAAATAGATGAATTGAAAGAAGCTCGTCTCAGTCGCGATGAAGCAAATTATATTGAAATGTTAAAAACTATGAAAAATAAAGTAGAAGAAATTAAAGAAAAGATGGCTACAATAGCTGATGTTGTTGGAGTAAAAGACATGTTGCAAGTCAAAATATGTTCTGATCTCAAGAAACTTGGCAAGTGCAATTTCAATGGTGTTATAAATGATCTGAACAAGAAATACCTTGAAGGCACTAGAGAATGGTTATTTGAAAAACTCGACACTTGGCTTAACGATAGAAGAAAAAATGCTTCTAATGTCATGATTTTGATTGCTGGTCCTGGCGTTGGTAAAAGTGTGTTTGCTGCTGAGGTGTGTCGACGATATTCTGAAAAGAAGA